CTCTCTCTCTCTCTCTCTCTCGTCTTTTAAAATCTACATGTAAATTGCTACTGTCAAGCTTTTCGTTCCTCCTTCTCTTCTGAAGTCACTTCCTGCTTTTTGCTGCTCCTCAGTTTTTAGTTCTTCTTCCCAGTGTGGTGTAGTGGATAGAGTCATGGATGAGATGACTTAAACTAAAAACTAAAACCTTTCCCCCACCATTTCCCCCCCAGTGAGCAAGACAACTCGTCAAGTCCGCATGATCGTTGAGGAGGTTGAAGATGGGAAGATCGTCTCTTCCCGTGAGCAGGTCAAGCAGTCCACCTACTGAAAAGGAGAGGAGAATGCCATGGAAACAATTGAAAGCGTTTTAAGACAGCAGCATTGCTATGCCTTTTCAATTGCGTATTCTTCTAAATATCTCTCTGTATGTGAACAAAATGACTACAGAAGCAAAGCCAGAGTTATGTAACCTTTCCAGCCAACTAACTTGCTTGTGCACAACTAATAAAGAATTGTTTCACCAGTCATGCAAAAACGTAGGGCCTTTTTATGGTTGTAGATCTTGCTTCAAATCCCTATTTAGCTATGAAGCTAACTGGGCAACCTTGGACCAGTCACTTGTGTCACTCTGCCTAACCTATCCTACAATGCCGTTATCAGGATAACTTCCTCATCCTCATAGAACTGCAGAGCTAGAAGTGACCCTATGGAACATTGAGTCCATCACATGTCTAGGAGGCTAACTGGGGAATCAAACTCTCAACTTCTGGCTCCACAGCCAGATACCTAAACCGCTGAGCATATCCAGTAGGGAGGATGCAAAGAAGCATATGCACCACATAGAGCTCCTGGGGGGAAAAGGCAGGATATAAATGTCCTAATAAATAAATATAATGTAGGTTTCCATGAAGAAATGAGAAATGGAATTCCCATTATGGGGAGATCAGTGTCAGAAACAGGTATTGGGCAAAATACTCTCAATGGGGCCCCCTCCCTAAAATGGCTTACAAGGTAAATGAATTGTACTGTTTTATCCCATCACTGTTGAAGTTGTTCCTCAGCTCAGGGAGAACAGATGAGTGGCAGCATGATGGCAAAATTACTGCTCAGGATGGGGAGGGGGACTTTTCCAGGAAGCTCCAGGCATTGACAGCAGGCTTCCTATAGAGGAAGGTGCCTTAGCAGGTGATTAGTTGTGCATACCCTAAGGGCAGCCTTGGAATCTCTCCAGTGATTACAAGGACATTTCATGCTTTCTCTGCAACCTATTCTTTTACCCACAAGCAAGTTCAGATCTGTTTATGAATAATTTGGCTACCCACAAGCAAGTTCAGATCTGTTTATGAGTAATTTGGCCTTTCTCAGCAGATTACTCATCAACATGTCCAAACCCACTTATAAATTCAAACACAGGCTGCAGAAAAAAATATGACATGTCATAGAAATCCTCCCCATAGTAATCACTCATTAGGGTCAAGTAGATTTGGAGGACACAGCACAGGTTTATGACTTCTTATAATCCTGTGACATGATATCTTAAATCCTTATCAAGAAAGTGGAAAGTCCCCATGTGTTCTTGGATCACCTCTTCCAGAAGCCAAGGCTCGCATTGTTTTGGAAACACTGCTATAGAAGATGTGCCATTTTCCTTCACTGCTGTCTCCTTTCCTCATTTCTCTGAAGTAACTAGCTGTGCTCAATGGATCAAAAAAAGAGATGCTTCCAGGAAGCACCACCCTGCAATCTGGAAAGGTTTCTTCTTAAACCCTGATGCCTGCAGGATTTGCTGCAGTTATTCTTGAAATGTTAAAGGCAGATGTTAGCTTAGCTTGTCTCTCACAGCAAGGCAAGGCTGAAACCATAAAGAATCTTGCAGCACTTTGAAAACTCCTAAACGTGCTGCAAGACTCTCTGTTGTTTTTGCTGCAACAGATTAACACAACAGACAACATTGCAACGAACTAACAGCCACCACGGCCAGGCTAGCTCACAGATACAGAGACACCATTTCAGATTTCAGTGGTAGGAAGAAGAACTTGGAAAAGTTACTCTTTTGGCCCATAACTCCCAGAGTCGACCCAGCCAGCAAAATATCAATGAAATACACGGGAAGCTTCCCAGTGCCTTGCTTTTAGATATGTTGAAGATACAATTGTGGGAAAGGGTGTATCTAGAATACTTGTTTGGATTGCTTGTATAGATCTTGTCGTCTATACAGCCTGGAGCAAAGCTGATTAAGAGGTGCTATGATAGCAATCTTCAAATGCAGATGAGACAGCAAATGTTCCTCTGTTGTAGGATTAAAATCAGCAGTTGCAAATTACAAGAAAGGAATTTCAGTGCAGCATTAGGAGGAAGTTTCTGACTGTATGGGCCATTGATGGTGGAACAGACTCCCTTAGAAAGTGGTCAGCTCTCTTTCACTAGAGGTCTTCAGACAGAAAAGGCTAAAAGAACTGAGTGTGTTTAGCCTTGAGAAAAGAAAACTGACAGGAAATAGGATATCACTTTTCCAATATTTGAAAGATAGTCATACAGAGGAGGGGCAGGATCTGTTCTCAATAATCCCAGGATGCAGGACATGTAAGAATGGGCTCAAGCTACAGGAAGCCAGATTTAGACTGGCTATCAGGAAAAACATCCTAACTGTTAGAGCAGAGGAAAAACATCCTATCTGTTAGAGCAGTATGACAATGGAACCAATTACCTTGGGAACTGTGGAGTGCTCCAGCACTAGAGGCATTGAAGAGAAATTTGGACAACCATCTGTCAGATCTGCTTTGATTTGGACTCCTGCACTGAGCAGAGGGTTTATATTTGGACTCCTGCACTGAGCAGGGGGTTTATCTCAAAAGCCGTATAGGCCCCTTCCAACACAATTATTCTATGAATCTATGATTCTGTGACAGAGGCTAGATGAGCACCTGAAAGAAATAACAGTGGATTTTCTTCTTTGATGAGGCATTGGATTATGTTACTGGCCTAGATCCCTTCCTTGATTCTATAAACATAGCGGTGGTTAACAATCCAGGTGGAAGAGTCACGGTTTTCCTGACAGAACCAAAAGATCAAATGGCTCCCCCACATCTGCCTCGTTACACCCAAAGCCAGCCAGGTTGTTTCAGCACATACAGCAAGGAATCCCTTACTGGCTTCTACCACCCCCTGGCAGTTGAAATAAACAAATGAAATAAGAGAGAATTTGCTGCCTTTTCATGGCTTTCCATGACTGCTACCCAAAGCAGCTGCCTCATCCT